TTTTGGATTCAGTCATCTCTAATATGTGATGTAGATTCAGTCATTTTGGATATGTGAAAAAAAAACACTAAATCCTGCTAATAAGAATCCTAACTCAGGAGTCCGAGACAAGAGCCAAAATACCTGAGAATTCGAGTTTCTTCTGTGAATTTGTGAATTTGTGAGCTCTGAATAAGATCAAATCAAGTAAATTGAAAAAAGATGGAAAGGGACGAAAGAGAGAGAGAGACGAGAGACGAGAGTTAAGAGATGAAGAAACTTTTTCTTCTTTTGTTTATTAAAACATTTTTTTTATCCAGAATTAGTTTAATAAATTGGGTCAACCATTTATCCAGCCCAATATAAACCAAACTATTTTTATCCAATTCAACTAATCGATTATCCATTTGATCCATAAACCCATTTGTATCCAAATTTTCAATCCATTTGAATCAATGGGTAAGATGGATTGGGTCAATCTATGAATTTGGATCCATTTTGACACCCCTACCTTTAACCAGTTAAATCATTTAATTTTACAGGTCAAATAAGTTATACAGATTAAATAATTGTTTTACGGGTTAAATATGTTTATTTTCACTGAATGAGTTTTTGATACATGGTGGATAATATTTTACGGAGTGAATAACTCTATCTATAGATAGAATAAATTTCTTTTATGGGTTCAATAATATCCTTTTATGGGTTGAATTATTATATTTTACAAGCTGAATAAGTTCTACGGGTTGAATAATTTTCTTTTATAGGTTGAATAAGTTCTGTGAATTGAATAATTTTTTTTTACGGGTTGAAGTGTTAAGAGTAACAATACTATGTCGCAAGAATAACTTTTTAACACTAAGATCCAAAAAAATACCACCAAAAACATTGAGTTATGTTACTAAACACCGTCCTTTCACATCAGTTTAACATAAAACTACTAAGATCATTTTGGAATATATTTTGTACTACAGATTTGGTAGGTGTAGTCTCTTATGTTGGAGATCTTCATACGGTGAGAGATGAGATTTTCGGTGGACGAAACAAAAGAAAATGCAAAATCAATTTCCGGATCCGTGATCTCCAGTAAGTACTCTAACAAGAAAATATGTGTCTTACCTTATCATATAGTATTACAACACTTTAACGTTCATCTACTTTCCCTAGGAATCAAGAAATACTATATTCTGCAAGTGCAAATGTCGCTAACAATTTCTATGAGTTGTACCAAAGAATCCCAAATGATGTCGTTGTATGTGAGTTAACAGATTTGAGAGCTCTCTCCAACAAAGGTAAGGTCTATATAACGATTTAAACTGTTTAATCGATGTAACCATACTTTGTATAGTTATTAATGGGGTCCTATTTAATGGCCAGGATGAAATCATGTTGTTGTTGTTGTTGATGGAGGTGGTATGTTCCCCATTGCTCAAGAATTGAAGGAGAAGTAAGAGCTCTATTTACAATACGCTTACTACATTAGTAGTGATCATAAAACTCATTACTAATATTTTTACAACTCATTTGATGTAACAAGTTTATGATGACGTGAATATTAGGAAATCACCATTACACAAAGTTAACACTGCCGAAGCACACTTGATCACTCATAATCGCAATCGCATTAGATGAGGAGGAAGTTGTTCACTACACCAAAAGACTAAGGGATCATGTTGCCCCATGAACAATTTGTTTTTCGTACCCGTTTTAATGTTTGCCCCTTTTTAAACATCTCTGATTCTGTTTACAGTCCAAACACATTAGTTCAATTGTGCTTACAATTGTTTTTCTAATTTCTGGATACTTATTCTGAACTTTCTTCTTTCTTCACCTCTTTCAATGATATCAATTACCCTCTGTAACTTTCATCTTTTTAACTACAATGTCAAATATGTAATATACAAACAATAATAACTGTTTGCCCCGCACATTTGTGCGGGTTAAATCCTAATAAAGAGCATTATTTAAAGGAAGCTATATATTAGACAATAAAATCGCAAACACATTAAACAAACATTTTATTTCGCTAAACACAATTCAAAAACGGGAAAGAAGATAATATGAATAATTGGTAGTAAATAGGTGCAAATATCCCTAAATAATAGCTGTGAATATATTTATGGAAACTTGAATATTCGAAAATTCAAAAATATAAGGTTTAAGAACTAAATTGAGAAATCTTAGGCGTCATCAGGATATTCCAAATTAAATGAGAAGACCTAATGAACATCTAAGTGTTTCACAATAAATAAGGTGGAGGGGGAAACCTCGAATAGAAATTCATTTGTACCCTGTCTTCTTCTTTTTTGTTTCGGTGTGTTACTCTGTATAATTGTTATTTCACGGTGAACTGCAATTGGTTTACAATTGTTTTTTCTATATTAAAATATCACTTAATAAACTGTTAGCTACTATGTGTTTGTGTAGGGTTCAAAGTTAATATAGTTGAAGAAAAGCTTAAAGAGGAGTGAATACTTATACAATCGCCTTCTAGGATCAGGTGAGAAGAACCCTTTACTATTAGAAAACAGAATAGATACGTTTTTCGGAAAATCTTCTAATGGTAGCTTATATGGGTTCTAGTAACATACTGATTATCTATCTTCGTGTTCCAGGTTGTCTATGGAACTTTTATCACGAGCAATTTTAGAAGCATGTAAGGAAGCTAATGGTCAAATTGTTGTATGTTTGATCAGGTTTGCCAACATCGATTTGTATCGAGGTAAGTCATTCCATATTAAACGTACGGGTGTTTGATGATTACCTTTTTTTTAGGCTTGACCAAAATGAATAACTGATCGCAATCTGTTACAGGAGAGCAGGAGACTGTAACATGCAGATCTGATGCCTCATGGAGGAGATTGTAAGGTGGCGGGTTTGGGTTGGGAGTTCTCCTGAGGTCACTAAAATAGTAAAAGCTATCATGTGACGAACTTGGGAAAATCTGAGATCAGTTCAGAAGCATAAAACATAACATGGGAAAATCGAGCTCTAACGTCTTAAGGGCCAAAACCAGGACAACTGCTTTATAACAAAGCTAAAGCCATGTCAAGAAAACAACTTTGACCTATTTCCTTGACTTCAATCAAGGTTCACGGGTGAGAACCAACATTTTTAAAACCTGAGTCTTAGCCAAAGTTTCATCTAATGAAAAATCAATAATTATCAATCTAAAGAAAAATTAACATACTAATATTCTTAAAAGATAAAAACAACAACCCATGATAAAGAAATATATATTGTCACAACAACATTTTAATCAAATATTATTGGGAAAATTTCAAAACTACACCACTTAAGGTGCAAATTTTCAAAAATACACCTCTATGGGGTTTATTTTCAAAACTACACTTTTCATGGAGTAAAAGAACTTTAAACCCTAAAATCTAACATTGAACCCTTAAATCTAAACCCTAAACCCCAAAATCTAAACCCTAATCTAGGATTAGTGAACCCAAATATATAGCTTAAAATTAGGAAAAAGTGTATTTTTGAAAATTTCCACACAATAGGTGTAGTTTTGAAAATTTGCACCTCAAGAGGTATATTTCATAAAATTTCTCAATATTATTTGAAAAAATATCCAACTTTTGAAACATAATATTCACATATTTAATTAATTCAAAGGTTAGCAACATCACAAGTGAAAACCAATATTCTTTTAGACATGGGTCTTTTTAGAGATGAAAAGATGAAAAAAAAAATTGTCTTAGCCAAAGTTTAATCTAATGAAAAATCAATAATTATCAATCTCATTAACGAAAAATTAACATACTTATTTTCTTTTTAAAAAAAAAACCCGTGATAAAGAAACTGTCACAACAACATTTTAATCAAATATTATTTGAAAACACTATCCAACTTTAGAAACCTAATGTTCATATATTAAATTAATTCAAAGGTTAGGAACATCACGGGTGAGAACCAACATTCTTTTAGACCTGGATCTTTTTAGAGAGACGGAAAGAAAGAAATGATCTGATTAAAAGATGAAAAAGACTAGAATTGTCAACATAAATATATTATCTAGAGTATTAATCGGAATGAATTTTTGCCCGATTTTGACGAATTTCGTAGGGTATTCTTTGTAGACATTGGATTTAAAGTTACCGGAAAATCGAAATAAAGAGATAATAATCAAGTAAAATTAAGTGATTTTGCATAGGAAGGAAATAAGCAATTCAACAGAATTAGGAAAAGCATTTAACCTTTTCCTCATAATCAAATATTAATTGAAGTGATTTGAAATAAAGGAAATGCTAAATCGTTTACATCAAAAACGTTTCATGTTCGTCGATGAATACGCAACGCTGGTCTCTCCAAACTTCAAACTTCGATAATTCTTCATCTTTATTGATTTTTTTTTTTCATAGCGAACTTATTCCACTAGACCACATAAAGTCAATTTCACATCATCATTTGAAAAATAAGGAATTAAATTCTTTTTGACGATTGTATTTTATTCCGTTTGTTTATTTGTTAATGTAACCCCCAAAAAAATACTACGAATTTGGGTCACAAATGCAATGTTCAGAACCAACCAAATATGGGCAAGAAACAAGTCTATCATTATATTGTCTTATAAAATCAGGTTTTTAGTTTGTATCCCTAAATCAAACACACATATCCATAAATATCTCATTTTCATCATATAATTGAATTAATAACACTTTGTTTCTAATAACGTTTGTCATTTTTGGTGTATTCGAAAAACAACATTTTTCCCCAATTGTGGGCTTAGCTCTCTCTTTTCCAATTAGAGTGTCTCTTTTTCTTTTGGATAGAGCTTTTGTTTTTGTGTGATCAGTATTGAATCTTATCCTCTCCCGTTTGTTTTCTCGGTGCTTTGTAAAGAGTTTTCTACAGATCTACTTTCTCGAGAAGCCGTTTGAATCGTTTTAGCCGTCGGATTTTCGTTCTTTTGGCTGATTCGAGTGTCCTTGGTTAGCTAAGAAGTAGGAAGGTGTTAACGGGGGTTGTGGGGCTTATGTCTTGTGTTCGTAGTGCTCAATAGTGTGAAGATGTCTGCAGCTATGGATCGTGCTATGATGGCAATGTCCATCAAAGAAGAAGATTTGCCGGTGGAGATTCCAAATCGTCCGGAGTACTGTTCGAAGGAGAATAATGCATTGAGTATGATTGATCGGGTTTTGAACCCAAAGTGTCAAAACGTTGCTCATCTGATAGTCGACCTTCCTCGCAAATGGGGGAAAGCTGGGAGGATCAGAGGAGTCGTGCTGTCGAATGAAAGTTTTCAATTCTTCTTCAAGACTGAACATGACCTTGAAGAAATCATGGACAAAGGAGTTCAATCGTTCAACGAATGGGCTGTAGTTATGGAGAGATGGGTGGAGAAGGAACCACCGGAGTTCTTACAGTTTGTCCCTCTCTGGGTACAGATTAGGGAGCTTCCCCTAAATCATTATAGGTCTCAGACGATTTGGGACATAGGGGATGTTCTAGGTGTGGTCAAAGAGATTGCTTTTGACGAGACAAAGAATCAGAGCCATCCGTATGTGAGAGTCAAGGTGATTTTCAACGTAGCTAGACCTTTGCGCAAAGCGAAGATGGTGAACCTTCCTGATGGAGAACAGAAGGTTGTTCATTTTTTCTATGAGCAGATCAAGAAAAGGTGTTACAACTGCAAGAGGCTTAACCACGAGAAGGATATATGCCCTCTGCTGGTGAAAGAGAGTCAAGAAATGGCTGCAATCCGAAGAGCTAAAAGCATGGCGGCCAAAAGGGAGGCAAACCTGGTCCTGAGACCATCAGACCCTCTGTACGGAGTTCTAAAGGAGGAGCAGGTTGGGGTTAACCCACTCACGGGAAGACCCAAGATAGATCCAGCGGTTTTGGAAGATATGAGACAGTACCTAGTTGCAAACACTGGAGATGAGTTGTTAGTCAAACACGAAAGATTGAGGTCTTCAATTGCGGAGGTGGAAGCTGATCCAATTGCTCAGAAAATCATCCTGAGGATGGAAGCTAGGCCATTGGTTTCTCAGAATTTGGATAAAGAGAAAGGAAAGCTCTTTGATTTTGAAACGGGAGCTCAGGCTAAGGAGTGTAGAGGCGAAGATAAGCTGATCAGAGCGGCTATTAATCAAGGTCAATCTGATATGGTGGAGTATGGTAGTGATGATCTGCGAGCAAAATTGGAGTCGCTGAAATCAAGAAGAGCTTTTACTAGATCAACCGCTAGCTTTACGGCATATGGTTCTGGTCTCGATGAGGCTGGTCCATCCAGAGTTACGGTTGGTAAGAAAAAGCTTGGAAGAGACATGTCAAAAGATTCAGGATGATGAATCCAAAAAGAGAGTTATGTCTTGCTAACACTACAGAGTTCAAGAAGAATGGAAAAGGGGTGATGGCTCCAAAGAGAAAACAGTCTGATGCTACTACACGTTTTGATAAGCGTAAAAACCAGAAGGTGATCCCAAAGGAGGGATCGCCCAATATTTCATGAGCATTCTCTCTTGGAATTGTCAAGGATTGGGGCGGCCTCAAGATCTGGCAATTTCGCGCCTCAAGGAGCTGCGGAAAAAGCACTTCCCGAAGGTGATGTTTTTAATGGAAACGATGAATTTTGTAGTTGATTTGCAAGAGTGGTTGGGTTACTCGAGAGTTCATACAGTGCAGCTAGGGGTGTCAAAATGGTTAATCCAACTCATTTGACCCATCACCCATTTTATCCATGTATTTATGGGTCATAGATCAACCCAACCCATTTGATAAATGGGTTAGGTTGATCCATTACCCATTTAATTACATGGATAAAATGGGTCAATGAATAACCCATAACCAAATACTAATTTACTTAATACACTTGTTATATCAAATGGTTTAATGTTAGAGAGTACACAATAAATTGAAAAAAAATGCAAAAGTTTCACAAAATGCAAGATAACACAAAGAAGAGTAACTCAAGTTTACATCAAACTGATCTCATCATAAAATTTCTTGATCTGAGCTTCATCTCTCATAATATATCTGCTTGAAACTTTGAAACCCCTGATAAGAAATAAGCTATTCATTAGCAAATCTAAACCATGAAATAAGCCGTTCTATCTATAAAGCAATGTCATAAGAGCAAATAACTACAAGCCTGCAGGTAACAGAGAAAAGCTAACGTTCTTCCATTTTTCTTGTGAACCAAACACAAAAGAAATTCAGATTCTTTGATTGTTTTGATTCAAATTTGGTGAAGAGACTTAAGCCAGCAACAAACCAGCAGAAACAACCGATTCATAACACAAATACAATCTCAGAGCAACAAATTTTCACCTCACAAAGACTACACCTTTATCAGCTTTTAAATTCTAGATATGAGAACAAACCTTAAATCTGCTGTTCCATTGAAGTTGGTGTTGCTGCTCGAATCGTAACCATTTCCCCTTGATCATTATCATCTACAATTCACAAGAGAAAATGTTAATAGAGGCATAAACTACATTTAAACAAGTCATCAAGTTTTGTACCTTCATCATCAATAACGTAGCCATACAACCAAGAGCGAGTAGACAACAACGCTTGTACATTGCTCGGTAGAAGCCGAGTCCGATATTTGTTTATGACATGAGCCCCAATACTAAAAGAAGATTCAGAAGCTACCGTGGTAATAGGAACACTGAGGACGTCCATTGCCATGTATGTTAACGCCCCAAACCGATGACTATTTTCTTTCCAATGCTGCAACACATTCAAATCAGGATGACTTCTCATATCTAATTTTGGCTCATCTAAGTACACATCCAATAACGATTTTCCTTCATCCATAACGTCTTGCATATCATCTAACTCGAACAAATCCTGTATCATTTGAAAATCAGGCAAGTTATAATCTAAAACGATAAAGAAAATTTAGATCATCAAGCTGTAATTTAAAAAACTTACATCTAAGACACCATAACTTTCTCTTCCTTGTCCAGAAACACGAGAGTTGAAACTTGTACGAACAACTGGAGTCAAAGGATACTTTTTCTTATATTCTTCAAAGATCTCATTAAGCTTACTCTCCAGATGATCTATCTTCTCCTGAGATGTGAATGGATCAAGCTCATCATAACATTTCTTCAAAAGTTTCAGTTTCATCCTTGGATCAAAAACAGCTCCCATTGCCAGAAGAACGCTATACTCTTCCCAGTACTTATCAAACTTTTCTCTCATCCTAGAAATCATCATTCTGATCACAGTATCTTCATGGCCTCTATTCACTTCCAACACACACTGGATCTTCCAAATATGAGCAAAATATAAGTTGGAAGTAGAATAACTTCTCCCTGACATCAAAGTCGTTATACTATAGAAAGGCTTCAAGATCTCAAAGATAATATTGGCTCTTTTCCATTCTTCACTTGAGGGACAATGCCTATAGTTTTTGTCAACTACTTTGAACCTGTTCAAAGCACGCTGATACTTCAAAGCTTTCTCAAGCATCACATACGTTGAATTCCACCTATTCTGAACATAGAGACAGAACAACTTCACCCGCAATATCTACACAATCTGCCAGTGCAATCCTTCTAGATGTTGAAGCTTTGATGTACTTCACAGTGTCTCTGATTTTAGCCAACGCATCACTAATAACATCTAAACCATCCTGCACAATGAGGTTTAAGATGTGTGCACAACACCGAACATGAAAATAATCTCCTTCACACACCAAATTCTTATCTAAATTCAGCCGATCCTTCAATATTTCTTGCATGCTATCATTAGCAGTAGCATTATCCACAGTCAAAGTAAAGACTTTTCTTTCGATTCCCCACTCCTTCAAACATTCATGGATCCTACTAGCTAGAGCATCACCAGTGTGAGGAGGAAGGATATCACAGAATGACAAAATCTTGCTATTTAACACCCACTTGGAATCAACATAATGAGCAGTCAAAACCAAATATCCATCTCCAGAAAGTGCACTCCAACAATCAGTAGTCAAACACACTCTACTCGGTATCTTTTCTAACTCAACCTTCAATTTCTGTTTTTCCTTCTCCCAAGTTTTAATAACATCAGCAGCAGCAGTGTTTCTAGTGTAGCACTTATAATCCGGGTTCAAATAACTAAGATAATCCCTAAGCTCCTCATATTCAACACAAAGGAAAGGAAGATTGTGCCTAATGATCACTCGACTGAATTTTTCCCTAGCAACTTTTTCATCGATATGCACTACTCTTCTTTCATCACTACATATACTGAGATGACGTTTCAGATTTGATGTTCCACTAGTTCCTGTATGCACATAACTTTTTGAGCATTTCACACAGTGTGCTTTTTCTTCACCATTGTCATCTGTGTCTAACCTAAAGTAATTCCAGACACTAGATGTCTTACTCCTTTTCGCAGAACCAGAGGGTTGTGATGTACCGGTTGATGATTGCACAGACCAACATGAAGATTGTTTTCTTCATTCTCCATGGGTATAGATTCCTCCATGGATCAGAATACGGGAAATCCTAAACCACAAACAAAGCACAAAAACATGTAAGGAGAAGTCAATAGTTGTAGAAAAAGCATGCATGAAGAATAGCAAAAAAACATTTAGCATTGGTGAAACAAGACTAATTTGACAACAACGTTAAGCAGGATCAGGTTAAGTATCAATAAACCAATATTTAAGTAAAACGTGTAAATTTTTAAAACATTCTGAAAGATTGTGCATAAACCAGACCATTTCACTCATACTCGACAATAATAATAGCTCATTTCAATAAACCATATCCAGATAGAGAGAGAGAGAGAGAGAGAGAGAGAGAGAGAGAGAGAGAGAGAGAGAGAGAGAGACTAAAGAAGATACACAATTCAACAGGTTTTAAGATTCTGCCAATATCAACTACTTAAGCCAGGTGGTCATAAGAAGACAAATCAAAACTACAAACTGTACGAGTTCACTAGCAATAAGAAAAGCTCATGTAAGAGCCAATGAATAAAGCTACCAAAGGATGGAAAGGTATATAACCTTTTTTCTTGCAGATGCCGAGGATGTTCAAACGATACAAGAATAAAGCTACCAATACATGGATCTTTTCCAAGAAGATAGTAGAAGCTCGTTGAAACCTCTTTGAAACTAGAATGTCCAAATATAAGGCTGTATGGTCCAGAGGTCAGTAGATTTGCAGTGGTATCTGCACAAACAAACAAAAAACAGATTACCTTACTAAATAGTTACAAGGTCCAAGTTATGTTAATCAAATTCGAAAAGCTTTGAGAAACACTATGCAGTCACTAAGCAAGCAATTTGAGCAATTCACACAACATATTATTATAGAAGAAAAAGCATGAATCACTACTGATTCAAGAGCAATGTATGTTAACGCAGTCACAACTGATTCAAGAGCAAAGAGACTTTCAACTTTAAAAAAGGGAAAACGAACAAGTCACACAACACCAAACGAACAAGTCTCTACACATATGAGGATTCACACTAATCATGACTTCTGAAGCAAATAATTAGTCATTCATGGCGGAAAACGAAAACCAGGAGCGATCAATGTTAATGTAGTGATTCTAAATCAGGCTCAGGGATGCTACTAAACACTCTACAAGCAGAAGCTATGCAAAACCCACAAAATCCATATCCATAAACCCACAAAATCCATATCGATACCTTCTTCCCAAAACGCACAAAATCAATATCCAGAAACCCACAAATCAGAAAACAGTGATGAACACCATAGTACTCATAAACTTCAATTAGATAATCCCCAATTCTAGAGAAACAATCACACCCGAAACCATTAAACATACTAATGCTTAGTATAATCAAAAACCCATTATCACCGTACCTGTGAAAGCATCAAAAACTCCGGCGAGAATACCGACGACAACTTCCGGTTTGAGAGTGAATGTGAGAGCGATAGAGATACAAGGAGAAAGAGATGGAGAACCCGAGAGAGTCCTAGAGATATAGAGATTTGCGAGATCGAAAGGGAGAGATCGTGTTCTGCGAAGGAGAAAGAGATCGAAGGAGAAAGAGATCGAAGAAGAAATCTGATTTTGGTAAAGTAACAATTAAAATTGGTTAACCATTGAGATCCATCAACCCATTATAATTTTAACCATTTCAACCCAACCCAATTAATCCATCAACCCAATTGACCCATGAATCCATTTGCATTCAATTTCTGAACCCATTTAATCTAACGGATTGGATGGGTTGAATGATCCATTAACTTTTATCCATTTTGACACCCCTAAGTGCAGCCAGTTAGTACTTGTGGAGGGCTAGCTCTGTTTTGTAAAAAAGGAGTAGAGGTGGAGTTGTTAGTTGTAAATAAGAATCTGTTAGATCTTCATGTGCAGTTCAGCGGTTTGTCTTTTTTCGTCTCTTGTGTGTATGGCGATCCTGACAGAAGTAAAAGAGATGGTGTTTGGGATCAACTCGTCAAAATTGGTGTAAATAGATCGGGGAGTTGGTGTTTGTTGGGGGATTTTAACGAAATTCTACATAATGGTGAGAAGTTGGGTGGTCCCAGAAGAAGCGCAAAGTCCTGAACCTTTCAGTAATATGTTGTCTTCTTGTGGTATGTTTGAACTGTCTAGCAAAGGTAATATGTACATGTGGGGAGGTATGAGATACAGTTGGTGGATTCAGAGAAGATTGGATAGATGTTTTGGGAACAAGGAGTGGTTCAAGATGTTTCCAGTTTCGAATCAGGCCTTTTTAGATAAGAGAGGTTCTGATCACAGGCCTGACTAGTGAGTCTCCAGTCTTTTCAAGAATCTTACAAGGGCCATTTCAGGTTTGACAAGCGTTTTCTACATCAACCTCTGATTGAGGAGTCAATACTTTCGGCTTGGAAGAAGAAATCTCGTTCCTCTTTGGTCTCCGTTTCTGAAAGGTTGAGAAATTGTAGAAAGACGCTGAGTAATTGGAAGAAGAACCACAACATGAATGCAAGGGATAGGCTCATCAGCTAGAGATCAATCTGGAAGAGGAACAGTCTACTTTCTTTCCTAGCACGGAGAGACTTAGGTATTTGAGAAGAGAACTGGTATTGGCATACAAAGAAGATGAACTTTTTTGGAAACAAAAAAGTAGGCAAAGGTGGTTGCGTTCAGGAGATAGTAACACAAAATTCTTCCATGATTCTGTGAGATGTGCGAGAAACAAAAAGCTCCTCAAGGTTCTTATGGATGAAAACGGAACAGCTCAGAAATCAGAAGTGGCAAAAGAGGATGTGGCTACTTCTTACTTCAAGTCCTTATTCACTTCATCCAATCCCTCAGTCTTCTCAGATTGGTTTGCGGACTTTGAACCAAGAATCACTCCTTCTATGAATAAGAGCTTAACGGCTGAGGTCTCGACTTCAGAAATCAAAGATGCAATGTTCTCTATCAAATCGTCAAGTGCTCCAGGTCCTGATGCAGTGTTCTTTCAACACTACTGGAACATCATTGGAGAACAGATTTCAAAGGAGGTTAAAAGCTTCTTCGAAAATGGGGTTTTTCCAAAAGATTAGAACTACACACACTTGTGCCTGTTACCTAAGATCCCCAATGCGTCGAAGATGACTGATCTTAGGCCGATCAGCCTTTGTTCTGTGCTGTATAAGGTGGTATCTAAAATTCTGGTTAAACGATTGCAACCTCTGCTCCACAAGATTGTCTCAGTCAATCAGTCTGCTTTTGTGTGTCATTGCCCACGAACTTATTCATGGTCTGCGAACGCATCCGGTGGTTTCAGAGGAATTCATGGCGATGAAATCATATATGTCAAAGGCTTACAACAGAGTTGAGTGGTCTTATCTAAGATCTCTGCTTTAGGCTCTAGAGTTTCACTCAAGATGGGTGGAATGGGTAATGTTCTGCGTCTCTACAGTGTCCTTTTCAGTGCTCATAAATGACCAACCGTATGGAATCATCACTCCACAACGAGGGCTGAGGCAGGGAGACCTACTATCGCCTTTTCTCTTTGTGCTCTGTGCGGAGGGTCTGATGCATCTTCTAAACAGGGCTGATAGAGAGGATAAGATTCAACGAAGAGGGACCATCAGTTCATCATCTGCTTTTTGCTGATGATAGTCTTTTCCTTTGTAAGGCTAATGATCAGCAGGTTCACGCTCTGAAAGGCATCCTAAGGATTTATGGGGAAGCTACTGGTCAAACAGTCAATCCAGCCAAGTCTTCAATATATTTTGGATCAAAGATTGGGGAGGATCAGAAGAAAATAACCAAAGCAGAGCTAGGTATCACAAAGGAGGGAGGGACCGGAACTTACTTAGGTCTTGCGGAATGTTTTATTGGCTCTAAGATCCAACTTTTGGGGTTTATAAAAGATGGAGTACAAAAACGGATCTCCAATTGGTTTACAAGAATATTATCCCCAGGAGGTAAGGAAACACTCCTGAAATCAGTCATTTCAGCGATACCGGTGTATGCGATGTCGTGTTTTAAGCTCCCAAAAGGAGTTTGTTCGAAGTTGAGAAGTGCTATGACTGAGTTTTGGTGGAGCTCAGTGGAGGATAAAAGAAAGATGCATTGGATTAGTTGGGAGATGATGTGTGTTCCGAAAATCTTAGGAGGCATGGTGTTTAGGGATATTGAGGACTTTAATCAGGCACTTCTAGCTAAGCAGGCATGGAAGTTGCTGCAGGAACTGGAGTGTTTAATGGCAAGGCTGCTCAAAAAGCAGGTACTTCCCTTCAAACTCTGTTTTGGAAGCCGTTATAGGAGTGAGACCGTCCTTTGCTTGGAGAAGCATCTTGTGGGGACGGGAACTTCTCATTAAGGGTCTCCGAAAAAGAGTAGGTAACGGGAAATCCATCAGTGTGTGGACTGATCTGTGGGTACTAGACGAGGGTCTGAGAGCGCCTTGGAGGTTGATTAACCCGTTTGATGTAAATCTTATGGCTAAGGATCTCATAGACCCTATCTCAAAGAAATGGGATATGGCGAAGCTTCAGGAAATGTTTTTTCAGGAAGATGTGCAGAGGGTTTTGGAGTTTCAACCAGTAACCAGAAAGTGAGGATTTATGGGTGTGGTATCATAACCAAAGTGGGGAGTACACAGTTAAATATGGTTTGTGGTTAGCTTCCAAGGTAAACAAAGGGGAAATTTTAAAAGAAGCAGAGCTGCAACCTTCTCTGAACAGTCTCAAAGCTTCGGTGTGGAAATTACCAACTACACAGAAGATAAAAAAATTCATTTGGAAAGTTCTGTGTGGTGGAGTTGCGGTTGGAGATAAGCTGGAAGAAAGAGGGATGAAAATCCAGAATGTTTGCCAAGCTTGCGGGTTAGATGGAGAATCCTTAAATCATCTCTTCTTTACTTGTTCTTTTTCGAGACAAGTATGGACTCTTAGTGATTTACCGCTGCCAGAGTTGGGCTTTGCTGAATCTGTCTATTCCAACATCAACTACTTGGTGGAACAAAGGAAGAATGATCTGGTGCCGAAAGAGATAAGTAGAAGATTTTCGTGGGTTATTTGGTTTCTTTGGAAAAATAGGAATGATCTCGCCTTCCAAAGTCATCAATTCAACGCCATGGATACAATGGAGAAAATCATTGAAGAAGGGGATCTCTGGTTTTTGGCTCAGAAAGTTGATAAAACGTGTGAGGTTTTGGCTCGTCCAGCTTCTTTGAGTCAGGTCAAGCATTGGAGACCTCCACCCGAACCGTGGTTAAAGTGCAATGTTGGTTGCTATTGGGATAAAGGTTCTAGAAGAAGTGGAATGTCGTGGATGGTTCGTGATAGGTGCGGAGTGGTCCTTTTGCATAGTAGAAGATCTTTTGCTAACGTAGGCAGCAAGTTAGAGTGTAATTTCTTAGGAATGTTGTGGGCTCTGGAAAGTCTGAGAAGTCATGGAGTAGCGCAAGTTGTTTTGGCGTTTGAAGATTTGGTGGTTTGTGGGGTTTTGGAGAGACCAAAGGCTTGGCCATCTTTCAGGAAGCAAGCTTTGGATTTCTCATCCGTCATGTCTTTCTTTGACGGTATCAGATTTGAGTTGGAACCGAGATTTGGTTTCGGTTCCTTATAACGTCTGTAATCCTTTGCATTGCAATATAATTTCAGATGGAAAAAAAAAATATGTTAAACATTTGGATGCCTGAAGGATATAAGAAGTCGTGCTGTTCTCGTATTGGAAAACCGAACATCACGCTACTTTTTTAGCGCCGGTCGAAAGTTTCAATTTTCAACTCTGACGAACGGACTGGAGAGACAGAGAGAGCCAAAGACGACGAGACGAGACGAGTGACGATGACTCTGCAAAGCTTCCTTAGAACCCTAAAGACAGCGAAACGAACTTATCCATTTTCAGTATACAATCTCCTAATCTTTTCTTCATCTATAAACCAAACTAGTGATTTACATTCACCGACAAAACCAATCTCCGATCTCAATCTGTCCACTCTTGGCCGTATTTTATCCGACCCAGACATCAAATCCTGGAAATGCGTCTCCCTCTTCCAGTTCATCCTCGAAAACCCGTCTCTTTTCTCGTTTCAGCCTGATCTCAACACTCACTTGTCTCTCACAGTCTCACTCTCCGCGTTTTGTCGGAGAGGAAGTTCTCAGATGCGCAGAAACTGTTGAAACCGAGCATTCTCAGGTACCCTTTTCACGCCATAGCCTCTACCATCGTTAATGAAACTGGCTTCGAGAAGAAAGTCGTTGCAAGATTCTTTAATTCTATGCTCGTGGTTTATTCGAACAACATGAAATTCGATGAAGTGACTGAAGTTTTTGAGTATATGAAGAACAACGAGATCAAGATTGATGAAAAGGCTTTAACTTTACACCTCCTGAATCTTAAAAGATATGACCAGATGGAGTTAGCTAACGGTTTCTTTCGTCTAATGGTTGGCTCTGGATTAGATGTTGTGACTGTGTACTCTTTAACTGTTGTTGTTTCTTCGCTGTGTTGCAATGGAGAGATCAAGAGAGCAAGAGAACTAGTGGAGGAGGTAAAGATTAAGCCTAATATCGTTACGTTTAAGTCCATGATTGATTGTTGTGTGAAAAGATGGGATTTTGAAGAGTTGGATTTGGTACTCAAGCTAATGGAGAAAGAAAGCGTGACGCTTGATCTTGATACTTTCAAGATTTTGATTGAAGGTTTCACTGGTTACGGCAAAGTTGAAGAAGCAGAGAGGTTGGTTTCGACGATGCACAATAAGAAGGTGAGAGTGGAGACTTATCTGTATAATTTGATCTTGAATGGGTACTCTCGAGTCGGATTAGTAGAGAAAGCGTTTGAATAACAGAGCTTAATGAGTTTTCGAGGTGTTGTTCCTAATAAGGATACATACTGGGCGTTGATGAATGGTCTCTGCAATGGTGGAAAAGTGTGTGAAGCGATGAGATTGTTAGATGAGTTGCGTGTAAACGGGTTTGAAGTCGATGAAGCAATGTATACGATGTTGATCCAAGGGTGTTTCAGAGGAGCAATGGTAGATGAATCTTTGGCTATGGTTGCTGAGATGATTAGAAAAGGACTCATGCCTGATGTTACAATCCTTGAAGGAATAGCTCATGCATTGTTTGAAGTAAACAGGGTAGAGGCACTAATGATGGTCACATTCTTGGTTAAGAGTGGCGTCAAACCAAAATATTCTTCTGATTTGGTCCCAAAAGAAGTGTATTAGAGTTTGAGAAATGAAGTAGAATATGATTTCATCTTGGAATGTGCCAAAGAACGGTTTACTAAGGTGTGCATAGGAGTTTGATTAGGATAATGAATACAGAAACAAAGTCTTTATTTTGCAATTTCTCTTCTAACAACAATCAAAATGATAAGATAAAATCTTTAATCAAAAGGATGATTATTTCTTGTTGTACCGTTAAACAAACTAACTCATTTCCCCCAGGAAAAGAAATTGCAGATAGACGGGGGAGAACAAATATAAGCCATACGATGGTGTTTTTTTCACTACACCATGAGACCCTGAGGAGGAGCAGCAGCAGGAGCCTTCGGTTGAGGTTTGTCAACAACAATGGCCTGAGTGGTCAGGACCATTCCGGCAACCGAAGCAGCGTTCTGAAGCGCACATCTCGTCACTTTTGCAGGATCGATCACTCCAGCTTCCAACAGATTCTCATAAGTATCAGTCATTGCATTGTAACCGAGCTCCCAGTCGCTCTCCAAAATCTTTTCGACTACAACTTCTCCTTCAATCCCAGCGTTCTGCGCAATAAGTGCAGCTGGTGCCACCAATGCCTGTATTCAAAACATATAACCAGTCACACCACTGATCTTTCTAAAGGCTTTAGAAGAGTGTTGAGACTTAGGAATCTTACCTTCTGTACTATATCAGCTCCAAGACGTTCATCAGCATCTTCAAACGTGGCCTTAATGGCGGGAATAACAGTTGAGAGATGCACCAAAGCAGCACCACCACCAGGAACTATACCTTCCTCGATAGCAGCGAAAGTGGCGTTCTTTGCATCCTCGATACGAAGCTTACGGTCTTCAAGCTCAGTCTCGGTTGCTGCTCCGACTTTAATGACAGCAACACCACCAGATAGTTTAGCAATTCTCTCAGCGAGCTTCTCCGAGTCATACACAGAGTCCGTCTCGAATAGTTCTTTCTTTAGCTGGGAGATCCTAGCTTGTAACTCATCCTTGGAAGCTGCATCTGCAATAAGTGTAGTCGAGTCTTTGCTGATTGTGACCTTTCTTGCAATACCTAATTGCTCTATGGTTGTGTTTTCGACCAACAAGCCCATGTCAAGGGCTTGGTACTCAGCTCCTGAAGAAACAACACACATACAAAGTTCAGAGCACAAACAGAGAGAGGACAGAAGAAGACTAAACCTGAGTTATATCTGCATATACCTGTCAAGATTGCGATATCTTGAAGCATAGCTTTTCTTCTTTCTCCGAATCCAGGAGCTTTAACGGCGACAACATTGAGGACACCACGGAGTTTGTTCACAACAAGAGTTGCCAAGGCCTCCCCTGTAACATCCTCTGCGATAATCAACAATGGAGCTCGAAGCTGAGTGGTCTTCTCCAAGATGGGGATGATGTCTTTGATTGCAGTGATCTTCTGATCAGTGATCAACACCCGAGCATTCTCAAACTCAACCAGAAGTTTCTCAGGGTTTGTAACAAACTGAGGTGAGATGTAACCTCTGTCAATCTGTAAACCAAAGGTAAGAAGAGAAGAAACCAACTTAGACATTGGCAAATCAAATTGGAGTTGAAGAGTTACAGAAAGACAAAAAAAACTCATACCTCCATTCCTTCTTCAACTTCGACAGTGGTCTCAAAAGAAGATGAAGATTCAATGGACAAAACCCCATCAGGTCCAACTTTGTCAATGGCATCAGCAATCATTGTTCCCACAAGCTCATCATTTCCAGCAGAGATTGTAGCCACGGCTGAAAATTTATACATCAAGTATCATTAGACGGATTGATTTAGCATTAGCAAATCAACATTGCATGATGACAAGGTCAGTGGAAAAAGTTAGTACCTTGGATGTCATTACGACCTTTAACAGGTCTAGCTTTCTTCTCAAGCTCTTCTATTAAACCCTGAACAGTTTTATCAATCCCTCTCTTGAGCGAAACGGGATTCGCACCAGAAGTGACACTCAATAGTCCATGTTTGATGATTTCCCGAGCAAGGATAGACGCAGTGGTTGTCCCATCACCAGCCGAGTCATTAGTCTTACTCGCAACCTTTGACACAGCAACAACAAGAAACAAGCCCACCAAATCAATCACCATCAACAGCAGTGGTAACAAAGCTAAGGCTCTCTCACACCAACACTAACCTCACGGATAAGCGCCGCACCAGCATTTTCCATGGCGTCAGGTAGCTCAATAGCTCTTGCAATAGTGACTCCATCATTCACCACCTTGGGGCTTCCAAATTCATCCAACACAACATTCCTTCCTGAAGATAGCAATCAGATTTGTACAAACCACATTGAGATTGTGAAAAATGAAGAGCTACTAATTACAATTATACCTCTTGGGCCGAGAGTGAGACCAACACAATCAGCAAGCTTGTCAATACCAGCTTGAAGAGCAGCTCTTGAGCTCTGGTCAAAAGCGATTTCCTTAACATTTGCTCTAACACTGAAACGTCTGTTTGCTTTCCTGTAGCTTACTCTTTGACCTTTCTGCTGATTTCCCCCACTTAGCTTTCCCTGAACAATCACAAGACGAGAATCTCAATAAAAGCTTATTCATTTCATAACAATCTCAATCGATTTCTTCAATCTCCCAAGAGAAAGTAACCATTTTTCCACCAACCCAGTAACCACTAAAGCAACAAGCAGCTGAAACAGAGATAAAGTAACCATTTTTTCACCAACCCAGTAACCACTAAAGCAATTAGCAGCTGAAACAGAGAAAAAGTAACCATTTTTTTAACCAACCAAGAAACCAGTAAAGCATAGACAACCCGAATTGGGAGAAAGAGCAATTGAAAATGAATGAAGTAAAACGACAAAGCCAAAGGAAACTATCAAACAGGTAAATGGAAGATGGCTAAACCATTCACCTGTCGTGAAGAGCAGAGGACGGAGGCGGAAGAGAGAGCATTAGCGGACGCCATTTTCTCAGACCTGAGCAAACGAGAACGCTCTGGATTTTTGTGGATAAGGAAATGGTTATACTCTAAACGAGAGTGGGAGGGGGTTAGGGTTTAGTAGATAAATGGAGAAAGGATCCAGAAGATTCTTTGCATTTCGTAAAGATGAACCGTTGATTTGAGAAAAGGCTTCACCTACTTTGTTTTTTTTTATTCTTTTTCTATTTCTAAAGGCCTTTTACTTGTTTATGGCCCAAAACGCCAAAACAAGACTCAGAAACCGGAAACTTCATAGTTCATCATCCTCTTGCATTTTTCATATTGGCTGCCGCAGTCAATCGTAAATGGTATTTGCAGAGGATTGTTATTGTTTACAGTTGACATTTACCCCAGAAAAAAAATAAATAAATAAATACTTAGACCGCTTTATCATGTACTAGTATTTGGCTTTACACCTTCGAGCTCTGGTAATTGACACTGTCACAGGAGCTAAGGATAGGTTATCATGGGGTGAGAGATCGGATGGCAGTTTCACGGTGAGCTCCGCCTATGCCCTGTTGACACGAGATCACAACCAAGGCAAGATTTGAGTGCTCTATTCAAACGTGTATGGCGTGTTGTGGCCCCAGAGCGAGTTCGGACATTTCTTTGGTTAGGAGTTAATCAGGTCCTAATGACGAATGTCGAGCGGCATCGAAGACATTTGTCTATCTCTGGAGTTTGTCAGGTTTGTAAGGGTGGAGAGGAAACAATCATCCATATCTTACGGGATTGTCCAGCCATGGAAGGGATTTGGCGTCGACTAGTCCCGATAAGTAAAAGACAAGAGTTTTTCAGTCAGACCCTGCTTGCCTGGATTTACTCGAATCTTGGAGACGAGGGACGTATCGGTGACACCACATGGGCCACTTTATTTGCAATGGCGGTATGGTGGGGATGGAAGTGGAGATGCATTAATGTTTTTAACGGAGCAGGGAGGTGTCGTGATAGAGTCCAGTTCGTGAAAACGCAGGCAACAGAGGTGAAGTTGGCATGGAAGACAGAAACCACAAGTAGCATGAGGAACGTGGTGAGAGTAGAAAGACTGATAGCGTGGACTCGGCCGGGTCTTGGGTGGGTGAAACTAAATACAGATGGTGCCTCACGAGGGAACCCTGGTTTAGCTACTGCAGGAGGAGTGCTGCGAGATGATAGTGGACAGTGGCGACGTGGGTTTGCACTCAACATAGGCATATGCTCGGCTCTGTTAGCTGAACTATGGGGAGTGTACTACGGGTTGTGTATTGCCTGGGAACATAGAGCTCAGCGAGTGGAGATTGAGGTAGACTCTGAAATGGTGGTTGGATTTCTTACAACAGGGATTGGCGAGGCGAATCCGTTGTCGTTCCTGGTACACCTGTGCCATGGCTTCATATCAAGGGACTGGATAGTCCGAGTATCTCATGTGTATAGAGAAGCTAATCGCCTTGCGGATGGGTTAGCTAACTAGCGTTTTCTTTGGCTTTGGGGTTTCACCTTTTTGATTCTGTTCCGGATACTGTCTATCCTTTATTTGTTGAGGACTTGGATGGTGTTTCGATTCCACGCCAAGTTCGGTTGTAACTCTTTTAATTTTGAATAAATTGGGGCTCTGCCCCTCCTTCGACCAAAAAAAAATGTACTAGTATTTGGCACATGCTATGCATGGACATAGACCTTTATTCTGATAATTTTCTTTATTACGCTCATTTGAATTTGTAACAAATAATTTTATAAACAATAGATAAAATTATCTCTTTTTAGCGACATATCTCTTTTTAACAATGGAATAGCTATAAAAATTGTCGTGTAATTCTGTTTTTAGAAATTGTAAACTGAAACAAAAAGAATGCAAGATAGATAAACTCTCTGCATGAAAAATGCATAAACTGAACAAAAGATTGATCTTTTATCCTCAAATGCATAAACCCAAAAACCAAAGAAGATCATGACTAAAAGATTGATCATTTATCCTCAACAAAGATAGATCATTTCCCTGAATACAAATGTACCTGCAGATGCAAGAGAGGACGATGAGAATAAGAGTAATGATGCGATGATCCATCAAAACTCTGAAATCAAATGAACTGTCAAATGCTTCATTTCTATTAACATACGTTTCTGTATTTATTCACTATACAATTGCGATCAACTTAAGTTATCAATCAATATCTCAGACACAAATAGAAATAGGAACTTGCAGCCAAACAGTCATCTTTATCAAATCCGAACCAGCATATTTCAATAAAGCTTCTCAATTCAAGACCTATCAAACTAAACCAGTCAGCATACCACCAAACAGACAACATAACACATTCTTCTCAATCTATCGAACCTATTGAATGACAATTCTAGTTCTTGTTCTGTCCGAGATTGAATAACGGAAACATTACCGTAGAGGCAGAGATGAAGCCAAGATGGTAGACCTCTGTTTAAACCTGACCTTTGTCTGAAATCAGCTTTTGTCGCATAAATCAACCTGAACAAAACTTCTGCTCCTCTGCTACTCTTGTTTTGACTTCAAAATCAGGGACTTGAAAAGCAAAGAGGACATATCGGAAAGGCAAAGACTGACTGGTCGTTGCAGGATCTACTGTACAGATGCATCTTGAAGATCAATGCATTTGGAGACAGAGCTCGATCCATATTCTTTCGATAATGCTTCCATTTTACTACTCAACTATACGCACGGGTCAATTTCGTTTTTATTTTAATAATATTATAATAAAATAAAATTATCAAATCAAAATGGCACAAATCAAAAATTAAAATTAAAATTAAATACTTTTGACATTTTGGTTCTAGTTGCGACTGCAAAATGTTGCACACTTAATATTTCGTTAGCACACAAAATGTTAATACACAATGAAAATGTCAATAACTATACGAAAAAGATAAAAAAATGTTTCTTTTTTTCGCTGAAGTATTCTATTTCTTATAAAGTAGATATTAGTAGTAGAGATATGTAATAAATAAGAAAATTATACCAACAATATCATTATATATCAACATCTAAAATTATTTATATTTGAATTTTTTTTCATTTACTTTTTATTTTTATCAGCAGAATTGTAAAAAAGGAGATTTTCCTTTAAGAAAAAAGAAAACAAATAATAATACTATTGGAAATTAAATAAGGAAACAAATAAGGAAATTTTCCTTTAGCTAATAAAAATTAAAAACCCTAACACACTTTTGCCATCTATTTATTTCTTATATATACCAAGAGTCCTCTCCTCCCTTTTTAACACCTACAAAAGCTACAATTGTATTAACTGGATTTTGATCAAATGTAGCTTACATGAATAAACATATGTTCACGTCAGAGCTTGATATAAGATCAAACAAATCCAACATCGAGAAACCACCTGGAAGCAAGATGGAGGGATATATATTGAAGACAAGATACTTTGACATCACATATTGAAAGTTCACATAGATCGATCAATTCTTCTAAAGGATATGTAGTGGATTAATGAAAAATCATGAAGCAAAGGAATGATTGAAACGAAGACAATGGGCATCACACTGAAGGTATACATGTCCTTCTGTGAAATAAATAAATTCGCTTGCTTTATTTCGAATATTATCTGGTCTATGGTGTTCAATTGATTTTCTTTGTATTTTGATAATGGAAGCACATCCAATTAATTAATAAATAAGTTACATTACCACAAAAAATTCAAAGGACTATGAAGAGAACAAGGAATCGAAATTACCAAAGTGTAGATTAAATCAAAAGTGAATTGTTGCTCCTAAATTAGTAAGCTTTCGATGGGGAAAATAATATTGATTATGAAGAAAGAAAAAAAATCAGAATAGTGATTACATGACACAAATTGAAAGGAAAAGGCAAACACAATAGAAGGCTGTATTTTGTTCCTTTTCTATTTTTCTTTTTTGTTTTTTCAATGTTTTGTAATATTTACATATTCATGTGTTTATAAGTAGTACTTTTAAAAGATGCCACTTGAAAGAGAAGGAATATAAACAAAAGTAAATTTATGAAAAACAGAATAAGATAAATTCCTTCTCATTTTAGTATTTACATATGACATTCAAAGGGCCTGTTTTGAATATATTTTGTTCAATAAGTCATTCTAGCTTGATTTTATTTTCAGTTTTTCAGGTAACGAAATTGTGTTTTATTTAATTATAATTTATTCTAAATTTAAGAGGAATAGAGCCATGCAGAATTTTACAAGAGGAATGGAACCATGCAGAATTTTAAGGGTCGAGAATAACCTACAGAAATAAGAGAAAAAAAATGAAGAAAAAAGTAGACACAAAGAAGAAGAGTACCAAGATAAAACCGAAGAATAGCGAAAACAAAGATATTGAATTGCGAATACAAAATAGAGACCAAAGAAGACAAAGATGAATAAGGAAAAACCATATTAAAAACTTGTGAAGAACAATTTGAAGAGGAATTCGAACAAGAACGAAGGAGAAGAAACCTAACAACAACAAAAAAACTTGCGAAGACCAATCTAAAGAGGAAATAAAATAAGAACAAAGGAGAAGAAACCAAATCAAAACAAAACAAAAAAGAGAAAAAAAAAGAAGAGCGAAGACGAAGAAGAGCAAACGCGAAGATGAGTGAAAATGAAGAAGAAATCAAATAAGACCAAAGACAAAGAAGAAAACAAAACATAAGATACTGAAAAAGAATGAATCAAAGAAAATTAAAAAAAACTTTAAAACAACAACGAAGAAGAAAATGAAGAACAATTATGTGTGTCGACTAGCTTCTCTTCATTTAGGTTTTAGGTTTTATAACCATTGAAAACTTACCAAAATATTAGTTTATCATCTAGCTTAAATTTATTACATACAAATATTGTTATTTATAGCATTTTAAGTTCTAACATAACCAACTGAAGTTATTTTAAATAAACATCATGTTACATACAAATATTGTTGACATCTAATTTTAAGAATTTCACTAAACATATTTAAAAATATATTTCTGTTTAGAAAATGACTAACACGTCACAATAGTTCATAAATTAACATTACATTTTACAAGTAAGTTTAGTGATAAAGTAAGTTTGTCCTATTATAATGATTTGAATATCTTCAAGTAAGTTTTGGTCATTAGACATACACAAACATTTTTGTTACCGGGATATGATCTAAACAATATTTTTGTATGTCAAGATTTGATCTCAATACGATATTGATATATCTAAAAACTTTTGTTTTCCAGAGAGTTTTGGTATTGAAATATTGATAAATTTTAATTGTTGATTTTTGCAGTTTAAAAAAAAATTAAATATATTTTAAACTGATTTAAGATACAGACCCGCGCGTGCGCGGGTGAAAGTCTTAGTCATCCCTAATATATTAAAAGAGAAAACACTATAAAATAAACCTTTGTCTCATGTGTTATTAACAGAAATGTCATGCTGATGTGTCAACACCAGGTTCACTTTCAAGGTTAGTTTTAATTAAGACAAACATTACTAGACTAATTACATGTTATGCCATTCATATTTGGTTAGAGAATGAAATATATATGATTAATTTAGTCAGAAAAATAATTATTAATGAAAATTATTTTCTTTCAGTTTCCTTATTTGGTAATGACGAAAATTTATTTATTAGTCAATCAATCAGTAAAATATGGAAAGTTTTATTCAATTGTATTATATTAATTGTTTAAAAATTAATTTATTCATCTATCATTTTTGTTTAGCTTTACTTTCAAGAATAAATTATATCATCACATCAAAATATTTAAAAAAGAAAATTAGTTTTTTTCTACATATGCTATGGTTTGAATTTTTAAAAATGAAGCAAATCTCTAAAAATGTTAAATGTCCCACATGATTATATTTTGGGATAATAGTTCAAAAACCTATTATAAAATAGGATCCAAATAATGATCAACCATAATCACAAATAGGAAAGAAAAATTTACCATGTTTGGAAATCTTTAAAATTTCTTTTATTCGATTTAATTTGATTCTTTAATTGAATTAAATAATTAAATCGTATTTTGGTTTGATCAAAATTTTAAACGTAATAAATTCTAATAACTTATCATATAAGTTAAATTATTTTAGTTATTTAAAATTGATAAAAACATAAAATATATATGCCATTTTATATTTATCAAAATATAAAATTATTTTAAATGTATTAAAATTTAATATATATGTGGGTTCGGAAAGGGAGAAACTGTTGTTAAAGCAAATGTTAGATTACCACACTGTAAACGATGACAAAAATCAAACCAGGCTAAAAAAATATGCATCACTCAAAATTTCGTCTAATGTAAATTGACATTTTTTTAATTGTCTAACACTCTATGTTCCTAAAATTGTATGTAAATAGACATCTTTTAATAAAATCAAATTGAGAAAATATCACCCCGTGCAAGGCGCGGGTCAAACTCTAGTATATATGAATAGGGGTCGACCCTCTCCATATTTGTGACACATGGCATTCATTTAATTTTAGAAAATAAAATCACAAAGACCTTCGGATTTCTCTTTCATGTCTTGAGTAATTTTTTTTTTTGGTGGGTTGTGTGAGAGACGAATGTCTCCCACCTTTATTCATTCAAACAAAATTAAGAAATACAAACGTGTCGCGGATACGCAGATCCATTAGTGTCTTCCTGCAACAACGCACCAACAACAGCAGGAACCACCTCAAACAAATGAAAACCTAGAGCAAGAGTGTAAGCATAGTTAGCTAACCCATCAGCTAGACGATTAGCCTCTCTATACACATGCGATATTCGGACCTCCCAATCCCTTTTAATAAAGCCATGGCACAACTGTACCAGGAAAGACAGACGCCAATCCCTGTCGTGAGAAACTCCACTACCAATTCAGAATCAACCTCAACTTCTAGTTTCGGTATTCGCCTATCCCAAGCAATGCATAGCCCATAGTAAACTCCCCAAAGCTCCGCTAGAGGCGCTGTGCATCGCCCAATATGGAGAGCAAAGCCCCCACACCAATCTCCAAGATGATTTCGTAACACACCACCTGCTGCAGCCGCGCCTGGATTTCCCCGTGAAGCGCCATCCGTATTCAACTTGGCCCACCCGACTTATGGAAACTCCCAACTAATCATCCGTTCCACTCGAGTCGGTTTAGTGCTTTGCGGCTTACAGGCTTCTGTCACGCTAAACACATCCTTCGCTATCTCCTTGAGGAAACGCATACGGTCCCGGCATTTCCTATTCTCTCCAAAAATGTTCCCACATCGCCATTTCCATCCCCACCAGACCGCCATTGCAAACATAGTGGACCATGGCACTTCATGTCTTGAGTAATCTGTAGAGCTTTACGGCTTCTCTTCTCCTTCTTCTAACTCCACAAAACTTAATTAAGTCTTTTAATAGTTTAAGGATCTAGAATTCCCATTGAAGTTTATTGACCTTTCATATTTTTCTCTTCACCTCTACTTATCTCCTTTCCCCACCTGTTATTTAAATCAACTCACGCACATCTGTTTGTACTTCCATATTGTTTGAACCAAGCATGATTCCGTTTAGCACATCTGTCTGTACTTCGATGTTCTTTGAACTAAGCAAGTTATTGTTTACTGCATTCAGCTAAATTGATAGTGTTGTATGTGTGAATCTAATCGAATAGATGAAGATTTATCTATGTCTACAACCTTTGTTGATTATATTGATATTATATATTCTTATGAAATTTAGTTGACACTCTATAATGTCTACCATAAATCTGAGGATCTCAAGAAGGTGCAAAAATGGACTAACGAGAGGAGAGAATGGCACAAGGTATTGCCTCTCCATCTCTTTACTTTTGTAGAGAAGGGTTCCAAGTTTCTATTTCACCGCTCTGTAAAACAATGATGTTATATCTGAGAGGTTAGTTTTAATCGGCTGTTTGATTGCAGAGTAGGGGCTCCAAGTTTTTGGTTTACCACCTTGGAAAAAAAACTGCATCTTATATCCAAGAGATAGGTGTCCAGCTAAATAGCCAAATTTTTCAATATATTGCAGGAATAGAGTTTCTGTCATCCCTAGAGTTTTGGCATAACCAAATTCCAGTTTATGAGATGGTTTGTAATTTGACTCTTAAGATTAGTCTCACGCATCATGAGAACACACAGTCTTAACATATTTCGTTTTGCTGGGTAAGAATTTTATCCAAGTGAAGAAAGGACTCAAGACAAACTCCATGTAAAGGTTTGTTCTTTAAAGCTACATTTTATCACATAAGCCATTCATTACAATAATTATTACAATAATTATTTTTGCTCTTATCCTCTTCTTAACTAAAACGATCAGTTCCTCCATAGCCAAGCAAATGAAACTGTAATTAATTTGTTTTCTTTTTCGAGGATTGTAAACATCTCTTAAGAGTTGTTTTCTTATACAAGCGTTGTACCTTGGAAATAACTTATTTTAAGTTCTTAGTCTATTATTTTTTTTCCAGTCCGCACCATCCACTCTATAAGGCTTTTTATGCTTCGCAAGCCTTCTTCAATCTGCACCCTCAGGTGTATAATTTCTTATAAGCAATTGCTTCCTTTGATGATGCTTGGGAATTTATAGCATCTACATACCTGAATACCAATGCAATGAAGAGTAGAGTCTAGGCATTTCAAGGAACTAATTTGTTTTCTCTGTCAAATTTTAGCTTGGCACTATTCGAATGATCTCATGTGGTTAGTTCCAAACAAAAACAGCTGTCGTAAACTTAGCTCTCAAACATTTTGATGATATGAAATATGATGTAGGCAGCTCATGGTGGTGGGAAAACTCCAAGGCAGCTCAAAACTTGTTTTCACATATTACATTAAAAAATGTTCTGAAGTTTTCACACATATTAAAACTTATCATTTTGTATGTAACAATTTCTTATAATTTCAAATCAATAATAATTTCAGAGATTTAAAATTTTTCAAGGTTACAATTATTCATTATTATCTGATAAAAGTATCTTATCAGACATAAAAAAATATATTAAACAAAAAACTCGCGCGTATGCGCGGGTATTAGCCTAGTACCATATAACACTTTCATTTTAATAAAATTCTAGACGACAAAAAAAAATTCTAGTTTCTCAATTAGATAAACATGTCGAGTTTGAATAAATAAATAAAAATATACAATTGTTATTTAGATAGTTTTTTAACTGAAATCACAACATTACCATCAGAAAAAAAAAAAAAAAAAAAAAATTGTAAGTTTTATCAACATGAACCATCAACTTCTTAATCATAAAAACAAACATCACTCCCTGAAGTAGTGCGAAAGAAAACTGAAATTTAAGATGCAGTAAAAAAAAACAATATAGAAGGTCACTTACAAAGTGAAGATTAAGAGCTTGATTAACGATTATACTATACTCATTACACTCACATTTGTTGCAAGGTTTATACGTACGTAAAAAATAAAAACTTCTAACAGAGGGGACTAAAACCAGAAATGTGGCCATCTCTGCGTATCGGATCCGAATCACATTACCCGAAACCCAATTCAGATGACTTACTAACGTACGGGATAACAGATAATTAAGTATATATTTGGAAATATAATATACTTTCTTGCAGTATATTGAATACACTTGAAGAAAAAAATGATTTTGTATCCAAATTTTATTTAAACAGAACAGGAGATAAACAACAGTTTACACAAACTGTTAATAGTTGGGAGACTTCAGAGGTTTTCCGGCCATCGCTCGCCGGTTTTCCTTATCCTATTTGTTCATCTTCCTTGGGAGAAGCTTATTGTTCCATCAATGGCTTTTCTTTTCCTAATCTCTTCCAATCATGCAGACAGTTAACTCGAGTTCGATTCCCTTCTCTTCCAAGGTCTCAGTTCACTTCTTCCCGTCTCAGAATCCAATTTACCTTTAGACCCGGAAAGTTAACTGTTTCACTCACAGGTCTGTCATCATCATCCCATGATTCTCATCCGTCGGTAAACCCAATAACAGACGGTGAAGATTCAGTTTCCGGTGGAAAGGAGCTTTGGCTACACAACACGATGAGCAGGAAGAATGAGCTGTTTAAGCCCATTAGCGCAAGGTCGAAGGTAAAGTTGGAATGTACGTCTGTGGTGTCACTGTTTACGATCTCAGAGCCACATTGGACACGCACGCGTCTACGTCACCTTCGATGTTCTCTTGAGGTATCCACTTGGAAGAAAAAAGCTTAAAAGATTTCTGGATTTACAGAAAAAAAAAGTATATAAAAAAATCTGATTATCCAAAATACTTAGACTAACATTTAAAGTTTTGTATCTGACCTTTTAATGAACGCATGTGCAGGTGGAGTCTCTCTACTCCATTTGTCTTCAACCTTCGAAGAGTTTACTGTTGATAAATCTCATTCGAACTTTTCTTTGATTTTTCATATCTTCTTCTTCTTCTTTTCATATATCACGACATGATTCTTTTTAACCAATTTCTGTTTCACAGAAGCTTGAATTATATCTCCCTGTCACATAAACCGTAATCGAAGCTTAGTACAATTTGAAAGAATCAGAAAGCAAAATAAATGAGAAAAACATTCAAATGAGGATACTTTAGAGACCTGTGAAGCAAATCTTGACCTTTCTCCTCCAGAGGAAAAAGAGAAAACAAAAAGATGGTGAATCTGAGAAAATGTATCATGAATCGAGAAATTTGCTGGTTATATCGAATTTGAACAGATTTTAGGGATTGGAGAGATGAGAGAGAGAGAGAAGAGAGGAAGGCGAGTTGATAACGAAGATGCTTTAAATTCAATCGTGACATTATTTTCAGTTGAAGATCGTGTTATAACTGTGAGTTAGTGGTGATCATGTTGTCAAAAAAATTAGGGATTGCAGTTTTAATGAGAGACGTGATAATATTTTCTGATATTTAAAATGGGCTTTAGAATTTAATGGGCTTCATTTTGCAGTTTTTCAGTTCACTTTAGAGTAATAGTTATTTTAATATTTTTAGTGGGACGATTTTGAATTATATTATTGTATTAATATTTGTGACGTGGATATGAAGAAGAAGAGCGTTTTTTTTCCTTAGCACTTGCCACATGTCGCTTTACAATTGGTGAAGTGACTTGTGCTTTAGTATATTAGGGATGTATCTCAGCAGCAAATAACATCAACAATCAAGAACATGCAAAAATCAAGAAAATCATGCAATTTTACAGCGGATTGTTTGTCACTTACATTGTCATTGTTGTTCCTAAGAACATTTTGATCAGCTTGAGTGTTATTAGGATTGACCAAGAAGCTAGCTTCTCCCATTTTCCGAATCCCTTTTACACAAACCTCCTCGGAAACTACACCATCATCGAATTTCTCAAGCTCTCTTCTCAAAACAGAAGCTTTCTTGTCAAAAATTATGTATGTTGTTTCTAGCATCAGTGTCTTTAACCTTTGGAGACTTTAACTCATTCAGTTTCTCAATCAAATAGCTTATCTCATCTTCCAAAACCTTGCTCTCTTTCCTCCCTTCTGAGATTCTACGTTTCCCCTGAAATCAAACAACCAACATAGACCAACAGCTTCAAACTCAAAAACATTCACATTCACAAAACCAATCAAATTGAAGAAAAAAAAGGAAGATTTTTGACTTACAGAGAGAAGAGTAAGAACAGAAGATCTAAGCGTCTTCTCCATTCGTTTCTTCTTCCTCTCCATATTCTTCATATATAGCAATCTCTTTTTATATTCTTAACAAACTACACTCTGATATCATGGTTTTCGTCCCTTCGCTGCAGGCTTCTTCTCGCTGGCAAGCACCGACGTGCTGATTTCCTCCACGCCAGTAGCATTCTCTTGCTCAATCGCTGGCGACGTCATCGGAAAGTTGATTTCAAGATCTTAATTTGATTACTAGAAACCGCAAATGTAAACATTTCAAGCACCAAACAAATTTCTTATTCATTGTCTAAATCCTTCAATCTGAGAAGCAAAACAGCACCAAGCATTCCAGAATTAGAATCAAAATCAATTACGATATTTCGTTCTGAGATTGAAGTAAAGTTATCAATCAACAAAAAAAGGAAAAAAAACCCCAGAATGCCGAATTACCTGATTTAAGAAGAAGAGATGAATTTGAAGATCTTGATAAATAAAACGCAGTGGTTCAAGATGAATGGATTTAGGTGGTTTCGTTTATCTCTGCAGATGTGAAAGATTCACGGTAAAAGTGGATTTTAGAGTTTGAAGACGTGGTGATGAAGCGGTTTTGGACGGAGATCGTGAGGTCAGTGGAAGAGAAAAAAGGAAATTTTAGAAAAAAATTGAAAAAAGCAACAAAAAACAAAAATTAAAAATTTAAAAGAAAAAACGAAAAAGGAAAAATGCAGAGGACACGTGTGATTAGATAAGCCTTTAGGTGACTGCTAATTTATTAGTATTAGATTAGATAAGCCATGAGGTGACTGCTAATCTTATATATAATGAAAGTATATCACTTTCCAGTTGAGTGACACCTGTCAAATATCTTCTTTCCAATAAAAAGTCACGTGGCAGCGTCCCATTTATTAGTTCAAGAAAAATCCAAATTTTCGTTTCGAGTCCTTAACGCACTTATTTTTAAACAAAAAAACCCAAAACACATAAACCACAAAAAATAAACCTCCTAAATGGACAATACACTTACCGACGCCAAAGAAACTGGATTGACGCTCCGCCGTCTCAAAGTCTCTTTCCGACGTCTGATTTCACCGTCTAGATTATGTGTTATGGTGATGCTTTTTGTTTTGTATTACCAATTGCGTAAAAGACGACATCGATTTTCTCAGGCAAGTCTTCAGTGTTCTCCTTTGTGTAATCAATGGCTAAATCAACACCTAAGCTTCTCACTACCTCCAGCTTCTCTGTGCTCGCTGTTGCAGCCACCTTCGAAACTCCGTACACTTGCTTCGCCAGCTGCATTCAGATTATGGAATCATTCAACAACCATCAATCTCCGACTTAGATTGCAGAAGAAGAATAGTTTTTTACCTGAATCGCAAGGCTCCCTACTCCTCCAGCACCGTTGAGAACGAGAATTGACTTTCGGGTGGAAAACTCCGTCCTAACCAGACCTTCGTCGGCGGTTTCTATAGCCAGTGGAATCCATGCGGCTTGAGCGAAATCGATGTTGTTAGGTTTTAAGGCTAATAGCTTCTCTTCCACTGCCGTGTACTCCGCCAGAGAACCGAATTCCTTCGGACCTTCCAATGCTTTCTCGCTCACGTTTTACGTCTCCTTCTTTGAATTCCTTCACTGGGCTTCCCACCTTCACCACTACTTCGGACCTTTTAATATCCCACCACAGTCTGCCGCGGCTGCCTCCACCAATAACCCCAATCGTTCCCGCCGACAACGCCGTCTTTAAGACTCTCTCGGATGATGAGACAAATGTATTCCCTCCAAGGACGGGCGTCTCGACTACTCCACCGGCGTTTCCTCGATCAAAACTTTCGCCCGTCCGTTCGTCTCCTTCCCATGCGACACATTGCCGATTGCTACCTCCGACCTAGGGCTCCTATCTTCCTAGTGGGCTCCCTCCAAATCAGGTTACCCCACTCTAAAGCCCAAGCCGTTTTACTCATTCTTCATCTTTGAGCCCATTTTTGATTCACAAATAACTCCGAATTCATTGTTATTCCTGTAGCGACCGTTACTGCTCTGTTTTTTCATTAAACGATTTCGCTCCCCTGTAACGGCTTCCATTACAACGCATAGAGGTAATGTTTCTTCGTCTTTCCCTCACAATTTAATAACAGTCTACTAAATGTCATTATACTCATCTTCTCAGCTCGCCTCACTAGAGGACCGATCCATATGACTATAAATACCTATCCGTTCATACTTGCTAATCAGGTTAGCGTGTCTTCTGTTGTTCTCTTTTGATGGAGAAGATCATTTCTGGCGACTCTATGGTGATGTTCTACCTTCTTCTGATGAGTGCAGCAGCTTGCTTCTAGCTACAGAGGTGTGAGTGATTTATCATTTTGAAATTGAGCACATTTACTTTGTGTGTTAAAGTGTTTACCTTTAAACTGATCCTCTGATGTATGCTTGGTGATATCTAAACTTCTGTGTGTTTTGCTATAGGAAGACTTGCGGAGCTTCTGCATCGTGATCTTGTTTCAACTATTAGACAACAACAGAAACGAGTCCTAGACTTTTGAGAAAAAAATCGGGTAAAGAGGCCTAATGTGCTTTTTTTTTTTTCTTTTCCAAACATATCTTGACATTTTTACCTTCGTTGAGAAATTTTGTATTTCAATTCAGCATTCAGGAGTTCCTCTCAAGATCAAAAGGCTTGCTGAAGATCCAGAAAGATTCATATGGGCGGTTAGCATAGACACGATGCCTTTGTATGCAAACTAGAGTCGGTGCTTTAGTTCAAGAACTAAATATGATTATTCCTTATGCTGGTAAGGGAGATCTATGTTCTTTTTTTATTGATGAATCAAAGTTTTACAATCTCACAGTTGATCTTGGAAGTTTATATATTAAGCGGTTTAACAGCGGTTGATGGAGCAGTTATAGCTGCAGCAAGAACACTGCCGATTTGGTTGGACATAGACCTTCCTCCATTTCCAAGTGCGGAAAGGAAAGCTGTTCAAGAGTTGCAAGATGAATGTCGAAAGATGCTTGCTTGGTACTGTATAACCATTATTGATAGATACAACGAGGTTATGTCGCATGTTTGAATTTCTGGTTTAATGTTTCATGCGGTGAAGCTCATCTTCATCCCAAGAAAGATTAACTTTACTAAAATTGCAGTGCTTGGCAGTGAGATTCTAAACCGTGGCGAAGAAGAAGAAGAAACAAAAGAAAAGGAAACAAAAAATGGGGAAGTTACAACGAAGCATTTTCTTGAGTGGGGAATGTGTTAAAGAAGCATGTTAATAATGTCTGAGATTTACATATCACAGATTTGATTTGCTTCTGTAAAACTTAGAGAGAAAATGCTTCGTTGTAACTTCCCCAATTAATATATCGAATTCCCAATAGCGTGACCAAATTTGGGAATACGAAGGAGACATTTCATTTCGATTAGCTGATGGGTGTGGATGTTGTAAAAATTGATTGGAAATGTTTGTTCCTTATATGCATGTTGTTCAAAACAATAGCTTTAACAATTCATCATTTTTCCTATCTTAAAAAAAAACAAATTTGATTTGGATTTCATTATTGTGTTCTTTAAATGATATTATATTATATGCATAATGTTTAAAAATGATAAATATATAAACATAGAATAAATATAATAATTATGATATACATAACAAATAGTTTTTGTAATACACAACCCGCGCATCGCACAGGCCAAGCCCTAATATATTGTAATATATACTAGAAAGTATAATTACCATCTTGTATTTATCAGGTGATATTGGTCAAAAATGATGTTTTGTTTAATTTATTTTATAATATGACTTTATTAGCTAATTTATTTTATTATCCAATTAGCTTAGGCAATGCTGTTTAACCTTAACTTTTTGAAAAGAACAAAATTTGAAACATTTTGAAGGTTATGGAAACTCACCTGATGAGTCTCATTTTGAAGGTTCTGGAAATTTGAAACATTTTGAAGGTTTTTTGTAGAATTGGAGAAGCAAGAGATATGACTTATGAGTCATCCAAATCATCATGTGAGTCTTTCATATCTCTTGTTTTTCCAATTCTACAAAAAAACTATGATATAACATCTTGGTAGCAAATAGGAAAACAGTAAAACTTTTGTATGAAGCCATTTTTTTTTTATGTTCTCTTCACTGCCTTTTGTATCTCAATTTGCTAGAGATACCTCATTTTAAACAATAAACATGAAATCAATAACAAACTAGAGGTAACTCATTTATTTTATTTTATTATATGTTTGTCAACCAACAAAACATATGTGCTATTGAATGATATATACTTTTTAATTCTTAATATATTTCACAGTTTTTATTGATCTTGAGAAATTATTAACTTTTTTAAAAAAGCATTGATCATTTTTAAGTTATCATGTCCATTAATTTTTCATGGGCCATAAACATAATTTGGTCCAACTAGAGTTTATTGTCATTTTTTATATTTAACCACAGTAATGATGATATAACCTAATTTTTTTAAAGTTCTCGGGAAGATACAGACGGCGCCTCCTTCTCACCAAACAAAATCCTAACTCGGAACGTTAGCATCTTTTCTTCTTCAGTTTCCTCTTCTTACAGTGTATACCTAATGTAATGTATTTTTCACCAAGCATTTCATATATTCTATTTTGAACTCTGTATTACCATGTGAGATCACTATATGTGCCTTGTATGTGCCTTATTTGTATTCTTCTTTGAAAAATCTTATCATTGGTATTTTTGTTCAAAGTGTATTGACAGTGTTTTTGGTGTAACAGGTTATCTTTTATCTTCTAATCATACCGGTTATAGGATAGTCAAAAGTATGACAGGTATGCTTTCCTTTATTTTTACTAGTAAATTTCAGGTTTTCTTAAAAGTAAGCTTGCTTCTCTATTTTTGATCAATGACCATAGTAGTTTCTTTTATCATTCAAAATTCATTTCATTAAGTGTCATCCATATTCTTTTGAGATTATTCATCTGAAAAAACTGTAGTCTATGCTCTTAGTTATCTTAACAAGTGATTTTAGCTATTGCTCATATTCATGTTAAGGCCATGCCCGGTTCAAATAAGTATTGGGCCTTGTGCAAAAAAAATTTAAAATATGTATAAAAAATGATACATTTAAAATTTTAGGACATTTTCTGGAACATTTTGAAACTTTAGGACCTTGAAACTATAAATAAATTGTTAAAACAATTGCACGACCCAATAATTTTGCATTGTTAACACTGGGTCAGGGCCGGGCATGGATGTAGATCTTACATGTTTTATAGTGAGTATCAACATAGAATTTTATATAAAATTTACAAAATTTATATGCCTAAAATTTTCTTATAAAAATAAAACTATTCCAAACTAAAACATTAAGAAAACATGTAGGAAAAATGTACATGTAAATAATATTTTCTTTGAATGGTAATTTTCTGTGTATAGGTAGGTATTGTTTATTTTAAAAATTACTAAAAAAAAAATTTTAAAATGATAAAACTGTAATGTTTCGTATCTTTCTTTTGCCCTTTATAAAAAAAAACTAAACTAATAAAATCTCCAAAACAAATACAAGCAAATTAAATTCTAAATTAAAGCTGGTTTAGTCTATGTGTGCCAAAAAAAATCACAAATCACGTCTAACCGGTAACACAAAAAATGAGAGTGAGAAAAAACTGCGGCCATCAATGATTGATTATCGCAGCCAGCGATGCGATGAACTAACACCCCATTGAGAAAGAACCACGTTTACCTTCATGCCGCCACCTGGATTCTTGTTGGAGGAGGAATAGGAGACATACATGAATAGGAAAGAGGTGATCCGGCACCAACTCTAGAGTCGCCGCCTATGAAAGCAGCCTTCAAGAAGCCACTCTCAACATAGACTACCAGAAACCCATTTCAATAATCACACGCTCCTTGAAAACAAGTAGCATTACTTGTCAAACTCCAGGTTCAAGCCACTAAAAACTTATCGCCAATGTGACTCACCAAATCCACTCCTCCAGAGAGTCCACCACCACTATACCACCATAAAATGGCAAACAAATCACTAAAGAGCTGCCAAATATTATGCCTAAGTCACTAGCTTTGTTCTCATTATATATGGATCCGGAAAACAGTCACCCGGGTTCAAACCACTAAGAATTTATCACCACTGTGACACACTAAATTAGTTCCTCCAGATAATGTACCGCCATAAAATAGCAAACAAATCGCTAAAAAGATAGATTGACCGAGAACCACAAAATATTAAGCCTAAGGTTCTGATTGTTTAAGACTTTGGCTTTAGGCCGTGACTGTTGGCTTTTGGCCGTAGAGAATTTGGCTGTCAAGACTGTGGCTGTTACTTTTAAAAAATTTGAAAATTTGATTGGTAACAGATGCTGTGAAAGCTGTGACTTTTATTTTTAAATATCATCAAAATATATGTAAATCATTATTTTCTTGTCTAATAATAATATTAGTTATAAAATATAATAAAATGGATCTTAAAAGAATGAGAAAAAAAAATAAAAAAAATATTTAATCAAATTTTATTTATAACAAGATTAAATTTCTATCAAAAATAAGTTTTGTTTTCTTTGGGAAAGAAGAAAGAATAATAAAAGTAATTAAAAAGAAAAAAAGTGTTTAACTTATCACGTACAAGAAGGAAAAAAATTCTAAAAGCCACTTAAAGTCTCATTTATGTGGCTTTTAAACAAAAGGAACTTCAAAGAGTAAAATTTAAAAGTCTGGCAGTTAGGCTTTAGAGAGAAAAAAGGAAAGCAAAAGTTTCATTGGCAAAAAATTAACTTTTAAGACTTTCAAACACTTAAAAGTCCTCAAAGCCATAACCCCAATCGGGACCTAAAATTAAAAAAAAAAACTAAAAAAATAAAAGATATAAACTAAAAAAAATAAAAAAATAAAAACTATAAAATTACAGAATATTTGTGGGAACCTTTAGTTTTCTAAAAGAATACATTTATATCTTCCCTAAACATGTTAGTGTAACTTCAGTTAAAAAAGTTAGAATACTATCTTTTGTCTTTTTAATATAAAATATTTTATTTTTAAATTTTTGAAAATCTTACACTTTAATTTGTATTTTTAAAATAATTTTGAGATTTTTCTTTTGAATTTTTGGATTTTTTTTTCTTTATTTTCTGTAAATTGATAATTATTTACTAATTAAATATCATTATTTTAAAATAAAAAGTTTCAAAGTTAGCAGTAGTTAACTCTCCGTTAAGTTGGTGATGATAATTGGGTACAATATGTCAATATTAGGGTGACGTATTATTTTGGAAAAAAAAAATAGTGGAAGTATTGTTTCGGAAATGAAAAAAAAGTACGTGTATTAAGTTAGTCATAGAAATTAAGTTCATGTATTAATATTGAAATTTCCCTAAATAAGAGATATATTCGAACTAAGTATAAGTATAGGAGGATATAAGAAACCCATTTGAGTATAAAATCAAAAATTACAATTGGTAATTTTCAAGGATATATATCCATCTCAAATTCCA